GGGCGCTGCAGCTGGGGAGGGAGCGCGGGGTGGGGGCCCGGGACCACCTCCCCCTGGCGGGCGGGCAGGCGGGCGGGCGTGTGCGTGTGTGCGCGTGTGTGTGCCGGCGCCGACCTTGCGGAGGGGATGGCTGCGTGCGGGAGCCGCTTGCCACTTCGGGGCGTCCTGGCGCCGCGCGGGCGGCCGGAGCTGTGGTCCTGCCTGCCCAGCAGGTAGGGAGGGACCCGGCCTCCCAGCCGTTGACGCGATTTGCGGGAGGGTTTGGGGGGTGTTGAGGGAGAGCAGGCCGCAGCTTCCCGGCTTTGTGGCTCGCTTTCCCTTTCGTTCTTTGCCCCAAGTGCCTGTTTACTCGCGGCCACCTGGGTAGTTTCTTTCCGGGTTGGAGCGCGCGCTGCAGCTGGTGGGCCGGGGGGCGGTGGGCCGGGTTGCGGGGCGGCTCGGGCTCGCCCTGGGGTCGGGCTCGGGAAGGAGTTGGTGGCTGGAGAGGGGAGGGGGCGGCGGCGGAGCCGGAGCAAGGAGGAGTCTCGGGGCTGCTCGCTCGCTCTGTTGGTCCTCCTCCTCCTCCTCCTGCTCTCCGCATCCACTCTGAGCTCCTTCCTGCGCTGGCACTTCCACCCCCACCCCCCTCCTGGCATGCGAAGTGCTTTGTTCAGTGCAGCGTTGCAGAGGGGTTTTCCCAGGCTCCGCCCTCCACATTCATTCATGTTTTTGCTCCTTGCAACTGTCTTTACGCTTTTTGATCGTGTCCTGGTTTTGCACCTTGTAGTATTTATTTCTTCCCCGTAAAAGAATGGTTGATCACTAGTCCTAGTGGCTACAGTGCTGTCGTCTTTGAAAATACCCCACTTCCTAACTGAGGATTTAAACATGGGCTGGACAGCTAGGGACAGGGGGTGGAGACAGTAAACGGGGTCGCTTAAAGCCGTTACAGGTTGGGAATTTGCATATTTTGCGTTTCTGCTGGGGGCGGTGTAGGATGGGGGTCACGTGATTGACTTGCAATCAGTTCAGGCTTTGAAAACTTCGTAATATTGTGACCATTTAGAGTCGTAAGGAACGGAGCTAAGCAATTCGTGCGCGTTATCTTTGACTTTCCTGTTCAGTCAGAACCTTCTTGAATCTGACCGTGGTTGCTTCTTTGGGAAAGGGAGTTGAGCCCTGTCTTTTGTAGGTCATCAGCCAGTGCTGCAAGAAACACCCACCGTTGACCATCTTCGTATTTTTCTCATGCAGTAATATTGCTGCTGATAGCTGTGCTAGGAACACAATACGTTAATTGTAGCCTTCTTTTCCCTCTGTCTTAGCTAAAGTGAAACCATAAATTTCTAAAATCTTCTACTGGGATTTTAGACACATTCTTTCCCATAGAGGCCGTCTTAACCCGAAGTAATAATTAAGCATTTTTCTGTGACAGGCAAAGCTTCTAGGTTTAGCTTAGTCCTTATGACAACCTTCTGAGGTAGATAATGTTTCCTAGTTTTACAGTTTGGGAAGTCTGATCTTCAGAGATGTAAAGTACCTTGGTCAAGGCCAAACAGCACCAGGGGTAAAGCCTGGCCTTGAACCCTATCTGGTTTGACTCCAAAGTATGTTCTCATGATTTGCTGTGTCATTCATCCCTTTGAAAAGCCTGAGTGTGTTCTCTTTCCTGAGGAACTGGGCAGATTCATGTGGGGCCACATTCCAGAGCTGCTGATCTGAGGCAGGTCCCATAACCTCTTCCCCAAACTTGTTCCCTCCCCCCTCTATAAAACGAATGATTGACAGCAATTGTTTGAGCTGTTAGGATTAAATTGGGTAATAGGTAGAAAGGCCATAGGAAAACAGTACATATTCTGTTATATCAAAGCCTCTTTAATTCCATTTTTGTGTTTGCTAGTGATTAAACTTTGACCTTTAGTGAAAATGGACTTTGCTTATCAAAAACTTTGCTGCAGAGTTAAAATTTTAACTGGGATCCTCGAGGAAGAATATTGTGGAGGAGACTGTAGTGGCTGATTGGCAGATGTATGGTTAGGTTGTAGGCATGTCCAAACTTTTGACATTGCATCATGATATCATGGCTCAAGAACCTTGCAATGGCATTACATGAAAAAATCACAAAAGAAAGTTGATCTTTGTGTTGGGCGGCATTCCTGATTGTTCTTGGCCACATACTGCCCTTGGGCTGCAGGTTGGGTATGCCTGTTAGGTAATTATCAAATTAGCATACTGAAATTTGAATGGTTTTTGAAAAAGGTACAAGTCAGGACAGACAAGGTTATGCTGCAGTAACAAGTAATTCCCAGACCTCAGTGACTTAAAACAAAGGAGAGCTGCTTTTTGTTGAGGCAGTGGGAGTGATCACATTGTATTAGTGGGAATTCAGCTCTTTGTCCCATACATTGTCTGGAACAGTGCCTGGCTTGTGCCAGAGGGGACAGAATGCTCTGGAAGATCTTGCTTTGATAACTAAATGCTCCAGCCTGCAAATGAGGCATGTCTGTCTTCCATTCAAAGGTCAATAGCTAGAACTGTCACAACATGCAGCTGATGCAGGCAGGCAGAAAGTGCAGTCCTGCCATGAGCCCAGAAGGCAGCACTGCCATCATTAGGGAACAGCCGCCAGCCATAGCAACTGTGCATGTTAACTGAATCAACTCGAAATGGGATGATGACCAGGACTGGATGCTTCCCTTATAAATGGGCATTTGGAATATAGCACGACCCTTGGTAGCCTGACACTAACCTTTAATTATACTTGGTAATGGTAGACTAAAAAAATGTGAATATTTTCACTCTGGGCTCATAATGATCTGCTGACTTTTTCTACTGTTCTCTTAATGAGAGGGTCTAGAAGGGGGCAGAATGACCTTGTCCTGTTTAATTAAAAGTAATGTTTGCCAGTGGTAGCTGTTTCTTGAGTTTAGTGCTTTTGAGGTGTCTTTTTGTTTTGAAGGGAGTAAGGTCTATTGTTTTGTCTTTTTCTTTCTAGCAAATGGATTAATTGATGTTTGTTGAGTTCATGGAGCCAGCTTTTTGTAACCTGCTTTTCCAACAATTTCTAAGAAGGAAAAGGAGCTCCTAAATCTAAGAAGATGCCTCGAACGAAGCAGATTCATCCCAGAAATCTCAGAGGTAAGGCTCAATATTCTGTAGGAGAAAGGCTTGCAGTAGATCTCTTCATTAAGTATACCATTGATACCTGCAACGGTGGGTTCCTCAGATTCTGACCCTACTTTGTGGCCAGCTTCATTTTGGTTCATTTCTACATTCCTTGTACAGTTCCTGTCCCTCAGGAGCTACTTAATGGATATCTGCTGGCTGAATTAATTTGACAGAATTGCGGTTCTTTTCCTGCAGTCTGTGGATATTAAAGGCCGACTTTATCATTTCTTAACAGGAAGCATGTTGGAGTAACAAACTCTGAAATGAATGGTTGATACTCTTTGCTAAGTGGATCACCATGATTTTATGTTTGTTAAAAAAAAATCCTCCATACTGTTTTGTGTGTATGGGAGATTGAACCCAGGGCTTCATGCATACCAGGCAAGTGCTGCAGCACTGAGCTTCCCCCCAGTACCCTCATATTCTGTACCCCTCTGCACTTTACATCAAGATAAGAAGCGAGCATGAAGCAGTTGACATTTACACAGAATGTTGTTTGCAGAACTCCGAACAAACTGACTTATTTTCAGCAAGGAAGTACTGTATATACGTATATAAGGTCAAATATGTGTATAAGGCTGGAGGTCTAACTCAGTTTTAGAAGCTGTGCTTAGCATGCTTGAGGCCCTGGTCCCATCCCTGTACCAAACAAAAAGCAAAATAAACAAAATATGTATAAAAGCATGTTTCATACAAACACCATAAAAGGTTTTTCCCTTTAATATAAAGATATTTTAATACTGGAAAAGGAAGCACATTTTAGCCTATCCTTTAAAAGATCCAAATTGCTTTTATTTATTTTTTTATGTGTATGAGTGTCATGCCTACATATATGTAAGTGCACCCATGTCATGCAATGCCCATTGAGGACAGAAGAGGGCATTGGATCCCCTCCCCTTGAACTAAAGTGCTTGCTGCCCAACTCAGGTAAAGCAGGATGCAGAAGCACACTACTATAATCTCAGCACTTCTGTGGCAGGATGGGGAGAGTCAGGAGACTCCCCGGGGCTCGTGCATCAGCTGTCACTGGAAGGTGAGGACTACACCGAAGAAATAGTCTTCTGACCTCCACACACGTGCTTGATATGCACACACCCATACTTGTACACATAACACACACCCGCCACCTACACAGAGATGCGTGTGTATATGTAAAGAATGTAGCAGTATTGATAAAAGAACTGTGAAAGCAAATAATTCTAAGCAAAATAAAACAGTTGACAAAATATACATGTCGTTTAATAGTGCGGCTACATTCTTAGAACCGCAGTTTGGAGGTTTCATTATGTAAACGTAGAGTGTACTTCCACAGATCTTACAGGGTCTAGCCTACTGCACATCTGGCCTGTGTGGTGTAGCCATTGCTCCTAGGCCACAGACGTGAGTACTGTAGACAAGGCTGCTTAAACTTTTTTCATACATAACCCCTTTTCGTTAGAGAAATTTTACAGGATCCACATACGAATATAATTAAGGTAACTAGAGCGAACACTAAGAACAAATCACAAATTTATCTAAAAGAATTCTTCGTTATATGTAATTTTTCCGTTAAGAACCGAAGGCAGATTTGCACACTGAATTTGATACACTTGTTTATTTTTACACAACAAAATGAAGACCTGGTTGAGTGATACGGCAGGCAGCAGAGAATCTGTGCTTTTCTGAATGGAAGGATACTTTGATGTGTGGTTTTCCGTGCGGAGAATGCTGCCTCACATACTTATGTAACGCAAAATAGCCAGAGATGTTTAGGGGTATTTCAGAAATTGTTCGAAATTCTGTCCTAATCCTAAACAAAAGGTATTTAATGACTTTAAAAATTTAAATGAAGCTCAAATCTAACACTAAGGCACAGTACAAAGGTACAGTGCTTTGGTATTTACATGCTGATGGTAGGGGAATGTTCCATCTTTGTATTCTGTGATGAAGCCATTCCCTTTCTAGAAGAGAGAAAAGTTTATGGTTAACACTGCAGTTTATGACATAGTCGGGTCTGACTGAGTATTTCAGGCTGGTGATGTGGTATGCAGTACTAGGTGCACATGTGTGTTCAGAACCAAGGCTGTAGGAAGTTCATGATGTAAGAGGAGCAAGTACTGCCGGAAAGAGCTTACATTCACTATGCATTCTGTCTGTGCATGCTTAGAAAGCTTTTACCATTGTCAAGTTTTTCACGACCCCCACACTCAGTTATGCAAGTGACCCACGATTTTAGGAGCTGGGCTTCAGGGAATTATAACACAGTGGTATTTGTTTATCTTAATGTAGAAGAGGTAGAGCAAGGAAAACTAACAAAAAAACCCCCACAAAGTACAGTGGGGCCCAGGCCTTTAATCCCAGCACTTAGGAGGCAGAGGCGGGAGGATCTCTGTGAGTTCAAGGTCAGCTGGGGCTACAGGGACACCCTGTGTCAAAAAAAAACCAAAAATAAAAACAAAAAGCCCAAAACAAAAATGCTACAGCTATCTAAGGCCCTAATCTTGAGTAGAGTTCACAGGGAGGCCTGGAAGCCGCAGTGGGTAAATTAGCATGGCCAGTGATGATGGCTGGGGCATGTGCACCAATGTAGACTTTCTAAATACTGTACTCCCAGGCTGTGCTTTATTAAAATTTATAAATTCAGGAGTAAATTAACCTTAGCAGACTAAGGCTAAGGTTTTTGTTTGATAAAGTTAAAAAGTTGACTTTTTGTCTCATTTGTAATAACACAGCATAAAATACAAATACATTCTACAACTTTATAGGCTTATTCTATCAGGTCTTTA